GAGAGAGAGTTGTTTTTTTTTTTTTTTCCGTTGCACTTATCCATTTTTTTTTTTTTGTTGATGCAGGTGCTATCGTTGATCTCGCAGCAGCGCCGGTGGATCTTGCCGACCAAGGCGCAAGTCGAAGACACGCACCCGCCGACGAACGGCGAACACGGTAGAACGCCGTTGAAAAGTCGTTCAACGGGCGTTCCACGGGGGGGTCCCGTGTGGTGTTTTTTTTTTTTTCCGTCCCCGCCGACAGGGCTGCGGGTCCGAGGGCTGTTGCGCCCGACTCGTTGAACATTGTTCAACGGGAAGGCCCCGTTGAAACGTTCAACGGAGTTTCAATGGGGGCACCGGGGCAGTTCAATGGGTACAACAACGTTGAAAATTTTCCGTTGCCCGTTGATAGGACACACAGCCTGAGATGGTCTTCTTGGTGATGTACCAATCTGGAAGAGTCCTCCCGGGGGGTTACCATATGGTAGCCCCATCATGCCTTGATTCCATGGAATGAATGCATGCATATTCGAGACGGAGGGACTCATCCCTAATTGAGAATTCATCAGCGGCATGCCGTATAGTGCCGATATGAAGGGATGCGATGGTAAACTTTGTAGGTAGGTAGCCCAAGCGGCTTCCAAAGTTGGAGCCGGGTAATTTGGTTGGCCTTGAGCCACTCCCGTAATTGACGTAGGCTGGACCTGGATGAAAAGGCAGGATTTGTCCGAATCGTCGCGCCACCTGGGAGGTTGGAGCTCGCAGCCGCTTGCCGACTCAGCGGTAGAACTTGCTCCGCGGAAGCTCTAGGTGCCCTTAATGGACCGACATACCCCGGTCGAGGTTCAGTGGCCCTTGGTGTAAATGATGCTTGATGTTGATTCGATCGTGATTCTCCTTGGTTGCGACGATCAGTTCTTCTGCAGGTGAGCTCCGTATGAAAAAAGGTTCGACACCTTTTGCACCATGCAGTATCTGCATCTGCAAGTTTGACCTCCAACATATCGCCTTGACAGGTCTGAACGGTGATTTTGTCCTTCATATTTGCTCTCTGCGCCAGGTCAATATCAAACCTCAGATTCACCAGCTTCGGGTTGGACTCGTCTGCTTCCAGTTGTGTTGCTTCAACACTTTTCCAATTGCCTTTTCCACATGGACATGGAGGAAAGGCATCTCGTCCGGGGGTACTCCCACGGCCACAACCCAAAACGTATCTTGATTGATCAGTTGCCTCCAATCTCGAATCTCCGCCCGCGTCAACCAGGGCTTGAAGTCAGTTCTGTAAGTTGTCCCGGCGAAGTCAATGAAGTCTGTTTTCTTCCTGAGCATCCAATCGGTGATGTCCTGCGCTCTTGGAACGTACGATACCACGTTCGGGCTTTCCACCTTGACTCTGCCGCGCTTGAAATCTTGGCTGAAAATCTCATCGCTTATCCAGACATCTTCGTAGGCACGTACCACGTCTTCCTTCACTTTCTTAGGGAGAAATAGGGCTCCATCGCGAAAGATGACGATGACCGATCTTTCCTTCAGCCATCTTATCTTGGTCTCATCGACAGTTGAGTTCAAGATAAATTTAACCTCCCTGCCAGTTACCTCCATTTCACCCGGGTCGATGTCCGATGGTAGAATACCTTCTCTGATCATCTCCCTTGCTCTTTCTTCCTCGAAGCGGTAGTCGCTCGGCACTTGAGCTCTACCATCCCGTTCTCCTTTAATCACTGGCTTGACTTCCATCTTGGCTTGGCCTCGCTCTGGTAACTAATGTCTCCTATGCCAACACCTTCTACAACGAAGGAGAGTATCAAAATCCAAACTCAGATTCTCTTGAAATTATAGGATGCCCGGGTTGAGGACGGGTCAACTCTAACCGCTAGTAGCATCCACCATGGCATCCGCCATAGGTCTTCGTCAAGACGAAGGCACGGAGCTACCACCTGCGCTGACGGTTCCACGTTGGAGTCGTCCTCCGCCGGTTAGGCCTGCCAAGGGAGCAGGCGACGCTTGGCCCGAGCGCTACCACGCCAGTCGAAGCGCCTTTCCCCCACCCCACAGACCTGAGTTCCTTAAGTAGGTTTTTCCCGCATATGAAGTTAATAATAATAATAATAATAATAATAATAATAATAATAATAATAATAATAATAATAATAATAATAATAATAATGGTAATAATAAAATGGAAAAGCACGAGGTGGTGGGTTCAATCCCCACGGGGACCACCTGCAACACTCTTGGTGCCAACCAACTGAGATAGTGGGCTTGCTCCCCTCATTCGGTATTGGGCATGCGTGTCTGTGTATGGGTTGTGTGGGTTGTGTGGGAGAGTGGCCATACACACTGATGTTACCAAATGGGGGTGGGGGAAGTAGATTGGAGGCACAGCTACTGGCAAAATGCTTGGTCTTTGCATTAGCCCCGTACTCCCCCCGCCGCCGGTCCACCCTACTCCCTGACCACAGCCGATTAGTTCGGGGGGGGGCAGCATAAGCTGAGAGAGCTAGCTGTGCTTTCAGGGGTCCCCAGTATAGGCTTAACCTTTGTAGCCTTTGTGGTCGGGTAGTGCCCAGCCTCAACGGGCCTCCGAAGAATGAGGCATAGGTTACTTTACTTTAACGACTGAGCAACGCAGTCCGAAGGGTAGTTGTGGTATAACGTCCATCGGTGCTCTGATCACCCCACAATAGTACCCCCATTATGACGGCTCCAATCTATTCGAACACCTTGTGGAAACCAGGTCCAGTGTCCCATTGTACAAATGCCTTGTCCAGAACCAAAACGTACCAGCTTACGTCTATAAACTGTGATTGTTCTGCAGCTGCCGTCTTCACCCGAAAATAACGCCTGCCGCGGGTGTTATATTCAACTTACCACAAAAAAAAAAAAAAAAAGATTTTTGGGTTCTTACTCTTTTTTTTCCCCCGAATAGAATGCCCCTCCGAATATAATGCCCGGGCATTATATTTGAATGTGCAGAATGCCTCGTAGTGGGAGTATTAATGGGTTTTTTAAGGGGTATGTTTCGGTTTGATTTTTTGTTTTCTTTTTTTTCCAAATTTAATAATTTATAAGGGGTTCTTTTTTTTTTTTAAATAGGCTTACGAGGGGAGGCTGCTCGTATCACCACTCCTAGTCGGCCCGCCCTGGCCTTGTCTCAAAAAAATAAAAAGAAAAAAAAGGACCTTTTTTCTTAATTCTTATCATTTTTTTTTATTTTTTTTTCCCGAGTCGAACTTTTATATAAGCTGGGAAACACGCCCAGCGTCCTTTACATCATATGCTGTAACCAATCGGGAAAAACCAGGCTCACCGCTCTGGTTCATCGCAGGGCACAGTGCCATTATGAGCCAAGTGTACCTTTCTCAGCTATCGATGTCGAGCCTAAAATCGCCCTGCGCACCAAAAAAAAAAAAAAAACCGGCGCGTGCTTCATTTTGGCTGGCGCCGCCGCCAGCCATTTCGGTCCGGTAACACCGACAACCCCACTGGCCTCCCGCGTTACCTGGCACATCTCAGCAAAAAAAATAGCTAGGAAAGGTACAAGTGGTTTAACCCTAAACATTAGAGAAGAGACTACTAATAGGATGATAACAAAAAATTGCAACCAAAAACTACCAACAATCCCCCACTGGTCAAAAATTGCAACAAAAACTGTCCAGATTTGACAGGTAATTGAATTGGTTGGGCTTAAAGAATCAGCCTTCAAAAANAGTGGTTTAACCCTAAACATTAGAGAAGAGACTACTAATAGGATGATAACAAAAAATTGCAACCAAAAACTACCAACAATCCCCCACTGGTCAAACAGTGCAGTGGTGCCTGGTCTTATCAGCACCGCTAGCATCCGCTCGGGTTGTTCTCAGTAATCCCAAACAAACAAACAAAAAAAAAAAAAAAAAAAAAAAAAAAAAAAAAAAAAAAAAAAAAAAAAAAAAAAAAAGCAATAAAAACTACCAACAATCCCCCACTCCTCAAAACTACCAACGAGGACACTTTATACACTAAACCGGCTGATGCTGCCGGGATAACTCCGGGTTGAATTGTGAGGTTCCCAGCCTCTCCTCAGTTGCTTTGGAATAGAATTGAGTGTTAAAAAAATTAAAAAAAAAAGAGTCGAACAAACCCCTAACTAACAACTGGAACAGTGACGCGTTCTAATTACTCCTGAGGTTCTCCCGAATTCCAACCCTAGAAATTGACTAAGAAAAAAATAGTAACAATCGCGTAAAGGCCGTCGCCGCACTGGACACGAAACGAAAAACGAAACGAGTGAGTCTTCCTGCAGAAAATGGCCAGGTTCATCGGTTTGCTATAAATAGTAACGAGTGTATTTTGCCACCTTTCGTGGGCAGATGCACTCGTTTCGTTTTCGTTTCGTGTGCCGTGCGGCGGCGAGACCCAAAGCAACTCACCGGGCACAAAACAACCAAACACTTGAAGTTTCCACCAGACTTAAAAAGGTTAACAATCCTAAAAAAACTAATAGTACAATCTCAGGGAAACTACACGAGAGTCGCAAAAACGAGTTATAATTCCACTAGGGGCGAAGATACAGGTTCGAATTGCAGTTCAGGCAATGTATACAACTCAGCGTTTTGGCCAGGTAGGGTGTCGGAAGTGCAATCGCAAACTGCATTTTGCCCCAAAATGCAATTATAACTCGTATTTGTGACTCTACTGAACCTGAAGCAGCAACACACAACCATCCACAATCACCTACCCTATCTCTATCCAAACCCTCATGCTAATAGCAGCGCCCCGTACTACGATCACCAACCCAATCTCTATACGACATCAGCCAAACATTGGTTGCATTGCAATTCTAGACCACAATTGAACACATAATTTTTTTACAGAATTTAATTTGTGGTTTTTCAAATTTTGGGGCCCCACCGAATTTACTGAATATAACGCCCGCTGGTCATGTTGTTCATATACAACGCCCGGGCGTTATTTTCGGGTGAAAAAAGACGGTAGTCATAATGGTTGCCCCTTCGGTCTGCTAATTTGCCTACCTTCTTCCCCCGAATACAACGTACGGTCATTATAGCTGTATGTAGACGGAAAGGTACTACAAATTCAGCTATAATGAGCGTACGTTGTATTCGGGGGAAGACTGTAGTAGCCAGCCTCTACAACAACCTGGACTTCAAAAACACAAAAGAGAAAAAAAACAACGGGTAACTAGGGCGCAGTCACGATTTCAGTTTAAAATCAACTTCAGGTATCCCTCGAATACAACACATGCCCATCGGACCCTACAGGTAGGTTGTATACATTCACCATTTTCCGCGCTTTGGCACAACATTCGCGAAAATCGTGACTGAAGTGCATTTTCAAACTGAAACCGTGACTGCGCCCTAGTTCTCCCCCCCTGAAAAAAAAAAAAAATCCTTGGCAGATAATGATGTCCCAGCATTGTTGCAGATTTTCACCCATTGCGACCAATTCACTCTGCGTAGATTGACTGAACGCAGAAACCCTTTAACTTTCGGCGATCATATTTTTCACCTGATTTTTTGTTACGGGAACCATCGCTGATCCACCACTGACAGTTGGGAATCTGAGGGCGAGCGCCGAGGAACAGTTGCCTCTACTACTTCATCCATTCAAGGAAGATTATATTGTAGTTCCTCCGGAGATGTCCCTGTTCCACCTCTTGTCGTCCCTCCCACTTGCTCTACCCTCCGCCAGTCTTGAGAGAACGTCCTGATTTCCTTCTTGATATTGTTGTGTCCATTGAGTTTGGTTTTCACATCTTCCCATTTACACCACCAGTGCTTCCAAAAGCCGCGCCCATAAACAAGCCACGGCTTTATGAAACGTACGGGCCACTACACGAGCGCCCAAATTCATTGGAGTAGCAACACTTCCAGTCTAGTTTTGTCCGCGGCCGATAGCTGAGCCAAGTGCTGGTGGTTTAAAGTTTAAACAAAAACTATTTTGTTTGGATATGTTTGTGATGACTTCTGTAAACTCTTCCCCTTCTTGTCTGGCTCCCTCCCTTTCATATGTGCATCTTCTCTACAAGAGTGCCCAAAGTACCACCTTCTGCCCCTGGCATGTGGCCCAGTGGTTAGGGCACCGGTTGGAAACGTGCATTGTGGCTTAAACCACCAGTACTTCCTAAAGTCGCGTAGCGTTAACGCTACGCAATTTTAGGAAACGTACGGGTCACTACAGGAGCGCCCAAATTCATCCAACTAGAAACGTTTCTACTCTAGTTTTTTCCACGGCCGATAGCTGGGCCAAGTACTGGTGGTTTAAGGTTGTGGGTTCAAAATCCCGCATCCATGCACATGGGCAGCGGCAAACGTTTTAACTACATAACGTATACCCATCTGCAAACACCCCTGGGCTGACGCAGGTAAGCTATTACAGACACTGCTTGCGCACCACCCAAGGGTCTTAGTCCATGGTTGTTGTATGTTGGGTTTGGGCTGTGGGATGTTTGCCTGATGATCTTGGTTCTAGTGGTTCTTTGCGTGTTTGCGTACTTGGGGATGATTGTTCATTTGCCTTCCAGTCCGATGTTGTGCCCAAATCATTCAGTTTCCACAGTAGCTCAGTAGGCTCAATAGCAGATTGCATGGATGAGGTCGTGTGTTCAAAACTCGCTAACGTATTGGGATGCAGGACCAAGAGACCTGCATAGCACCCATAGAATCAGGAACGGTTGATGAGAGTGAGACTTAGTACAGACTGTGGTCGGTGTTGGTAGGTTTCTTGGGGCAAGATTAGAGTAGGGGGACCTGTTGCTAGCTGGAGATCTTGGGGAGTCAGCCACTAGGCACGGAACGGGTTAGGATGAGGGCTCCCCTTAGGACAGCTCGCCCGTAAAATAGGAATGGTTGATGAG